ACATCCGAACTAAGGAAGAACTCAGTCCAGTCGTAGGAATTAAGGTGTGTTAATAATTCGATTGAGCGAGTTGATCGGAAATCGCGGAAAAAGTTATACTTTTGGGACGACGTTTTGTCAGCCTCGAATTCCAACGTTGAAACAACTATGTCATGGTCTGAGCCCCCAAGTGGGCCTAGGGATGACACTGACGATGGTAAACAGCCTCTGCAGAAAATTAGGTCAAGTATACTTGAGCCTCGGGTGGGAAAATCGACAACCTGATTCCACATCCCAACATCTACAGCCTTTTAAAATAGGTTTATTGTAGCGCCCCTTGGGCACTGTCGGTCCCCTTTGAAGTCAGGATAAAAACCTAAAACAAACTCGTCAATTTCAACTGCACTTTGACTTCATTTGCTTTGGGTGTCCGGTTAGCCAAAATAGCGCGAATTGAGAGTTTGTTTTAAGTTAAAAAAACCTCAGTTCTAAGGGAAAATAATAACAAAATTTTCAAAAAATAACGATATGTACAATATAAAAATTGAAGTTTGCAGTTTGGTAGTTTTCCGGGGCCTGAATAATATGTCCTTCATGGCAATTGAAGAACTTTGATATCGGCCTGACCTTGCAATTACTTTCCTGTTGGGTAAATTTCGGTGTGCTCTAGTTGCTGGTTGTCATGTAACGAACCCAGATATCAGTACGAGAGACGGCCCAAGGAAGTAAGGCTTTGGCAACTCCTATGTACTTGAACGCCTATGTACAATAAGAAACTAAAGAGGGGAAACCTAATTACAAAAATAGACTGGGGCGAGGAGAGATTGTCCAGCGGGATTGGCGGAGGCACAGGGATCCAACGGAGACAGCGACGGAGGTCCCACGTCCGAAGGTTGGCGGCCGGCCACGGGGGTTCCCGGAGGTTAATCCTCGCCTGTATTTATAGCTTTTCCAGGGCGGAAGTCATCAAGGTTGGGTCGCCATCGTTGATTGGTTAAGGGTAGGTTGGGGATGGAAAGTTAAACAAACTTAGACCAGGGCTATTTTGCCTAAATTTAGGGCTATAATAATTAATTATATGCATACTTTTTGTAAGAAGCCAAATTGCGACTAACAGCCTGGCGTATAAATATAGGAAAGTTCGGCGGGCGCGCCCCTTACGGGGCGCGCTTTCTAGAACCTTCTCCAAAATGGCCGCCGCACGTGGTCTGGCATTCTAGAGTTTCCTACATTGCTCCCCCCTGCGAAAAGGGTCTGCTGTCCTCAGCAGAATCGTCTAGTGCGACAGCGGGTCCACCGTCTGGCAGCACTTCGACAGTCTTCTCTACGGGGTGTCCATCTCTGAGTACCTCAGCCGAAGCGTATCCACCCTCCGGGGGAACCTCTAAATACTGGTCGACCAGCTGGTAGTTGTATGCGTGGGACGGGCCGGCCTCTGAATCGGCATGGCCTGAGTCCTCCTCTGTCGGCGAACCTGGCTTTAGGCGATTAAACTGTACCGTAAATTCTTCCGAATACGGTCTGTCTTGGCTGCGAACGACACAAGTCGTGTCGGAGAGGACCTTTCTAACCACGTACGGACCTACCCATGCTGGATTAAATTTCTGAGGCACACCCGGCGACGGTGCGAAATTCCGCATCCACACGATGTCGCCCTCTTGATATGGGGTTCCGTGTGCTAGGCGGTCATAGAATGCCTTCTGACGGCGCTGACCTTCTTGGAGATGCAGTCGCGCTTCCTCCGATGCTATACGCAGGGTCTTACGCATTCTCGAGGCGTACGTGTCAACGGTCTCCACGGGGTGTGTAGGGGGTAGGTGGAGATCCTCAGGGAGTTGCATCTCCCTCCCGCACGTTAGGAAAAACGGCGTGTGTTGCGTAGTGGCGTTTACCGTGGATCGGTAAGCCAACATGCACGCTGGCAAGGCCTCGTCCCATGTGGATGCTGAATTCCGGTCGACAAAAGCCCGCAAAAGGTTGATCAGCGTCCGGTTCGTCCTTTCCACCTGTCCGTTGCCCTGAGGGTGATACGCGGTAGTGCGGGTTTTCTTAATTTTCAGGGCCCTACACAACTCGTGTACGACGCTGCTCTCGAACGACGAGCCTCGGTCTGATTGGAGTTGGTCCGGGGCTCCCCAGCGGCAGATCCACCCGTTGAAGATGGCTCGGGCTACTGTGGGGGCAGACGCATCTGGCAGGGGTACTGCCTCAGCCATCTTGGTGAAACAGTCTACCATGACGAGAATAAACCTATTTCCCCTCGCGGATGGCGCGATCGGACCAACTAGGTCTACCGCTACCCTCTCGTTGGGGTAGCCTGTCTGAATTGGCTGTAGCGGGGCTCTGTATGCGTGCCCGGGGGACTTAAAGCCTAAACACCGCTCACAAGACCGGACAGCGTTCTGTATGTCGGTCTTCTGATTCGGCCAGTAGTAACGCCGGCGGAGTGCCCACTCGGTCTTATGGATGCCGGAATGTCCTAGTTCCGCATGCATTCTTTTGACCACGTCGTCCACCATCGAAAGCGGTAGCACGACTCGCCTTGGGTATTGTTCGTTGTCGCGATAGAATAGAACACCATTTTCGATGAACAATTTGTCCCAAAGGCTATGCAGGCATCGCGTCTCATAACTACAACCCGCTAGCTCAGCTTTATTAAGGGGCCTACCGTTACTAACCTTCCTATCATATATGGGACGTACATGAGGGTCATCCCGTTGGTCTGCGGCCCAGAGAAGACACTGATCGCTTTGTAAAGCGATAGCGGAGATGGTGATGTCCGTGCATGACGGGCACTCCCCGTGGGGGCGATGCGGTTTCCTCGAAAAGGCATCGGCATTACCATGTTGGCGACCGGGTCGGAACACGCACTCAAAGTCGTATTCCGCCAACTTCTCCTGCCACCTCGCTACTTGCCCTTCAGGATTCTTAAAGTTTCTTAGCCAAGTCAAGGCACTATGGTCAGTGCGTACGACGAACGGCCGGTACTGGAGATATGGCCGGCATTCTTCCACAAAGTGTGTGAGCGCCAACATCTCTTTTCGAGTCACGCAGTAGCGCCGTTCTGCTTTGGTCAACGATCTACTTAAATACTGAATGACGCGCTGGGTACCGTCTGACTGTTGTTGGGAGAGAACCGCGCCGATTGCGGTGTCACTGGCATCGGTATCCAGGATGAACTTCCCGGCATCATTACTAATATCAGGAAAGACTAGAATTGGGGTGGAGCACAGCTTATCCTTCAGCGTCTGGAAGCTGTTTGTGCAGTCAGCAGTCCACTTAAACTTAACGTTTTTCTGCGTAAGCTTGTGGAGCGGCCCGGCAATTTGGGCGTAGTCCTTAATAAATCGTCTATAATAGGAGGCGAGGCCTAGGAAGCTGCGGACCTCCGCCACGTCTGAGGCGGTGGGCCACTCACGGATTTGTGTGACCTTTTCGTCATCAGTCTCTATCCCTGCGGCTGAGACTACATGACCTAAGAACTTCACGCGGGGCTTTATGAAGACACACTTGGCTGGCTTCAGGGTTAACCCCGCCTGTCGGAGACTGCTGAACACAGCCCTGATATTATTAAGGTGACTATCAAAGTCCTTTCCGAGGACAATTATATCATCCATGTAAACTAGACACGAGGTTGGTATTAACTGTGCAAGAACCTGATTCATCAACCTCTGAAAAGTGCTAGGGGCATTGGCGAGGCCGAAAGGCATCGTCTCGAACTCGTAGAGACCAGAGGGGACCGCGAATGCAGTCTTTTCCCTATCTGAGGGACGCACTTCAACTTGCCAGTAGCCTGAAGCTAAATCAAGCGTTGAAAACATAATATTGCCAGCGAGGGCGTCTAAGGTTGTATCTATCCGTGGGAGAGGAAATGAATCTTTCTTAGTCACAGCGTTTAGCTTTCTATAGTCTATGCACAGTCGCATTGAGCCATCCTTCTTTTTCACAAGTACAATGGGAGATGACCAGGGCGACTGAGAGGGCCTTATAATACTACGACTAAGCATATCATTGATAAGGGCATCTAGTTCCTTCTGGTAGAATATTGGAAGTCGCCTGGGGGGAACCCTGATGGGTCTCGCATCCCCCGTGTCGATGCAATGCTCCGTCACACTCGTCCTCCCCGTGGACTTGCCATCCCAATCAAAGATATCCTTAAATTCGTTGATTAACTGGCTGAGCTTCCGGGCGCTACCTTCTTCGAGGTGTGCCGGGACTAGGCCCTTAACATCAACACTAACCGCACAAGTGGGTACCCTCCGTGGCTCGGGGAAACTGCGAAGAAAAGGCACACTGACCGTGGCGGCCCGTAGAGCACGCTTACCGAAGTCAAGGGAACATCTAAACTTATTTAAAAAGTCAACACCTATTATACAGTCCCAAGTGATATCCGGGGACACGACAAATTGGTGAGCAAAACTAAGACCTGATAGGTCAAGAGAAAACTCCACAAGGCCAGTATGCCTAAGATGAGTGCCATTTGCAGTATGAAGTCGAAAACTAGGACTATCACAATACCTAATCCTCGTTTGGAACTCTAAAAAGGACTGCTGACGTATCAAAGAGCAACCAGTGCCTGAGTCTAATAGGCATGAAAGACTAGAGCTGCCTACAAAGCCTTCAACTAAGGGGCATATAGTAGGACCAATGCATGAAACAGCTGCATCAGAGACAATATAGCACTTACCGCCGTTTTCCTCCGTACTGACATCGATGGCCTGAACGGGGCGGCGAGCCTGAGGTCCTGGGCCTCGACGGGGCGGTTGACGACGCCATTGGTTTTGTCGGGGGTAGAAGGAGCCACAGGAGCAGGGGTGCCAGGGCGTTTGAGTGGCACAGTCGCGGACCGTCTGGGGCTGGACAGCTGCGATCCCGAGTAGAGGTTGGGCTGGCCGATCACAGACTGCCTGGAGTGCTTCCTCTTGACGTGCCAGGTCGAGGGCTTTACCGAAGGTAGCCGGTTGCGCCCGCATCAAGGCCTTCCGGATTTCAGGGTTTCTGACACCAGCGATGAACTGCTCCTACAACCGCTGATCGAGGCCTGCAGCATCCATGGTGGGAAAAGCCCTCCGTCCCAGGAGACGTAGGGCCTGCTGGTAGTCGAGGACTCCTTCATCCGGCTCCTGGACGCGGCCCCGATACTCGGACTGCAGAATCCAAGGGTGCACAGACGACCCGAGAATTGCACGAAGGCGATTCAGGATGTCCGACGCCGACATGGAAGAGGATATGTCTGCTGTCCGTGCAAGGTCGTAGACTTCGTCGTCCAGCAGGCCCATAATGGTTGCGCTTCGCGACGAAGCATCAACCCCGAGCAGGTAATCCGACACTCTCGCCTCCCACCGACCGAAGTCAGCGCCCCGCGATAGCTTTTCCGGCATGGGTGCAGACGGCTGTTGCAGGCCCAGCTTCTGTAGCTCCTTAACCAGTTTTCCCACTAGGTTATCCGACATGGCGGTCACCGCTGCCACCAAATTGTAACGAGCCCAGATATCAGTACGAGAGACAGCCCAAGGAAGTAAGGCTTTGGCAACTCCTATGTACTTGAACGCCTATGTACAATAAGAAACTAAAGAGGGGAAACCTAATTACAAAAATAGACTGGGGCGAGGAGAGATTGTCCAGCGGGATTGGCGGAGGCACAGGGATCCAACGGAGACAGCGACGGAGGTCCCACGTCCGAAGGTTGGCGGCCGGCCACGGGGGTTCCCGGAGGTTAATCCTCGCCTGTATTTATAGCTTTTCCAGGGCGGAAGTCATCAAGGTTGGGTCGCCATCGTTGATTGGTTAAGGGTAGGTTGGGGATGGAAAGTTAAACAAACTTAGACCAGGGCTATTTTGCCTAAATTTAGGGCTATAATAATTAATTATATGCATACTTTTTGTAAGAAGCCAAATTGCGACTAACAGCCTGGCGTATAAATATAGGAAAGTTCGGCGGGCGTGCCCCTTACGGGGCGCGCTTTCTAGAACCTTCTCCAAGATGGCCGCCGCACGTGATCTGGCATTCTAGAGTTTCCTACAGTCAGTCTATCTGGCCAGCTGTAAGGGGGCGGTCGCACAGTTCCTACGTATTTTTCAGGAGGCTTACCATTGTTGTCTGGACTAAAAGCTGGAAAAGATGAATATTTATCAGGAGTAAGAAGCATTCAGTGGTAAGTCACAATCAAAACTGTCAAAATACTATTGAATCATGTATAATATTGTTCTTGTTAATGTGAAATTATAGGAGTAGTGGTCGACTGTTTACTATGACCTAATATAATTCTATATATGTTTAATATGGCTTTAATATAGACATACGCACGACTAATATGCAGGGTTTTATCGAAGGGTATATTTTTATTAGCTTTATAAGGGATATTTAGTGTCAGGTGACATAGCTGATGAAAACGAGAAAGGGAGGAAAATAGAAGAATATCATTATCTGTTCTATGTTTATCAATGCTGCTATCTTTTATAAATTTGATTATTTTTAGTGCTATGTTCCGGTATTTTTCAATCGGCTGGCATCATCAGAGCCCTTTTGGACCAAATTCAATATCAAAGAATTGACTTGAAAAATGTCCTATCTTATTCAAAAATAAATGTGTATTGTTATTTGAAAGGAATTTCTTAGTTTTTATTTTAAATTCGATTAGGGTTCGACTTTTCC